CTCTTTTCAGGACTTGTAAAAAAAAAAAAAAATAGAATAGCTCTATCTGTCTGGGTATGACTTGCAGAGAGCTTGGCATGCTCAGTTTGTCTCACATCAGTGAGCAACGTGAAAAGCGAGATGGCTGTGACATGACAGCGGTCACCTGGCCTTACGGCTGCTGGTCCTGAGCCAGAAACACTACAGTCACAACAGACCGTGCACTGGTCTGGTCTTACTGTGCTATACTTCAGATTAAAACAATGCAGTGGGCTAACTTTGCACTGCTAAGCTTCATGCCAGTTCAGGTCTTGCCTGTCTTCTGACAGCTAACAACGGCTCCTGTGGCTCATATGGCTGTAGCTCGTCCTGCCGGGTTCTCTGGCTGTGCCCCGCACTGGGGCAGGGGATGGTGGCCCCACAGCCCCTTGGCTGTTCGGGCTGGCAGTGCCTGGAGAGAGGCAAAGCTGGGGAGTTGCAGAACCTGCCCCTCAGGGACGGTGAGTCCAGGGTCAGGGATATTGGGCCCATCTGTGTCCTGTGTCTCTGAGGCAGCTGTGTGCCCTGTTTGCCCTGCCTCGTCTTTCTTGGCATTGGAGGTGGCTGCTTGCTGCCCCCCCTGCCCCGGCAGGAAGGGTCCAGCCAGCAGAGTAGATGTGACCTGAGGCTATTCTTGTGTAGAGCAAAGCCAAAGCTTGCAGGGAAACCTGAAACCCAGTGAGACTTGGATTAGCAACCCGAAACTCAGGCCAGGATACAAGCCTTTTGGAAGAGCTTGGCAGAGTTTCAGGCAAGTGCGGGCTGAGTTTCAAGTCAGCTAAGGCTGACCTTTGAGTGAGCCCGCTGCTGGCTGCTCGGGAAGCATGGGCCTGAATTTTAAGAGAGCCTGGGGAGTGAATTTCAGGCAAAAAAAAAAAAAAAAAAAAAAAACCAAACTAGTTTAAGGGTTTAGGCAAAAACAATGCAGACCTCTTATGGTTTGGGGGTGATAATTCCTAGCTACTCACCTGCCCCCAAACCAGCAAAACCAGACTGGTGGTTACAGCTTCATTGCACTCTGAGTTTCAATGCAGACTTAACCCCTTCCTCAGTAATTGTTACTTCCAGGCTTTCTCTGGGGTAGATCTAAATTCCCTGTTTGCTCTCTCCCCGTCACAAGGGAGGTCTCATGGCTGTTGGCGGTGCAAGGTCGAAGATGTACCTGAGCAGCTCAGCATTCCCTACTCCTGGACACAAAGGGCTGAGCTATCTATTTGGCAGTTTGTACCTTGCAGGAATTTTTGCAAGGGGAGAAATGAATCAGATCAGGGGGGAGATCACAAGATGGAAAGGCTGGTGCTGTGAGAGCAGAAGACCAGAGTTCAGAGATCAGCCAGAGATGGGCAGACAAGGCCATGCTATATCAGTGGCCGAGGTTGAAGGATAATCATCAAGCCTAAGTGGAAGAAGGCATGAGAAAATGGCCACGAATAGAGCTGTCTGTCCCAGGCAGTGGGAAGCAGGAAGGGCCAACATAGTCTTGCTCCTGAAGCTGTGGACATATTTCTCTTCCCATTGTGGTTTTTTTTTTTTTCCATTGCTTTTCCTGCAAACTCATCACTCTCTTCCTCCCCTAACACACAGCATGTGATGGGTCTAGATCAGGGCAGGGAGGACATGTTTGTAATCAGACCCACATTTCTCTGGATTGTCTGCATTGTCTCAGCAGTGAATTCAGCCAAAACTCCCATACTCGTGACGTTTTAGGGCTGATTTTAAAAGCTCTGTGAAGGTAGAATTTTCCCAAGTGGAGTTTCCTGGATAGGAAATTGCTTATCTTAGAGTATTATTCTATATAGCTCTAATAGCTCCTTTCCCCCCTGCCAGTCAGCTGAAGTCCCTTTACACTGGGAGTAACAAATGTGGAGCCTGAAGCCACAGAAAGGGTCTTTATGCCAAAGGAAGTGCCTCTCTATGGCACTCCCAGTTTTCTTGCCTAGCTCCCTTTTCCATGCCCTTGATTCTGGCTCTTTCTCCCACGCTGTGTCCTATGTCGTCAGGCAGAGAGGGGCCTCGTCTGCTGCTTTATTTCAGGCCCTTCTCTAATTACATGTTGACATTAGTTATTTATATAATGTCCTTAATACCAAAGCGTCAATACAGGAGGTGGTGGGGAGGCCTGTGCCCGCCTGCCCGCGGCTCGGCGGGTGGCGTCCGCCGGTCACGTTGGTCCAGAGATGCTGGAGCAGCCCTGCAGCATCCCAGCATTTGGCATCAGCTCCTCTGGAGACGGCTCTGGAGAGCTGAAGCCAGGTATTCCAGAGAGGCACAGGGTCACGCACCACACGCCAGAAGGTAATTGGAGACCGACTGTCCGGGCTGCAACTGCTGGATGTCCTTCGCAGACGGCATAATGCCCCTTCAGCAGCCTGCGTGGCTCAGGGCAGCGTGCCTTGCCCTTGAAGTCCACACTGCGCTTTTATGGCCCCCCCAGAGGAAGGCAGGGAAGTGCTAGCAGATGCGTAATTTCCCCAAGGATGGTGTGTGGGCTTTACCCTGGACAGCTAAATAAATACTTGGATGTCTCCTGCGCTGAGACTTGTTTGTGTCTCTGAGGCCAGGGTGGAACGTGTGGTGGGGTGTGTGCAGTTCCTGTTGGGTTTGGTGTGTGGCTGCTCCAGCGCTGGTTTTAAATGTGACACTGATAACGCGGGCCGCCAGCCCGCTGCTGGCTTCCAGTTCCGTCTCATTGCCTCTGTCTCTTTTATGTTCTCTTCTGCGGTTTGCAAGGCAGAGTTTAAAGGTTTCTCTGACTAACCCTGGCTGCTGGACTCAAAGGGAAGGAAGTTGACTGCAGCCAAGAAAAGGAAGCCAGTTGGTTTCCCTTCTGCGTCTGCGAGCGCGTGTGAGGGGGAGAGGGAGAAGGGTGTAGCCAGATCAGAAATGAGATAGGATGGGAAGACAGCAGACCTCTTTCCTTCCATATTTTCGCAGCTTGACAAGCTCCCTGCGTGCATCAGCCCAGAGCACGGAGAAAGGAAGCGTGTCCTGGTCAATATTTACCCGGTGGCGTGGGGCAGTGCGCTTCAGCTCCAGCTGCGGGTGGGCTGCGCGCTTCTGGCTCGCTCCCTGGCAATGCAGTGCGTGAAGGCAGCCACGACGGGGAGCTTCCTTCCTGCAGGATGGCTGGTGCTGGCAGGGCCGGGCAGGGCAGGGCAGGGCGGGAGGGCCCGCTGCCC